TCACACTCCACCATGAAGCAGGATATCTGTAGATCTTTATTAAATACCCTTTATCAAATTGAGGAGCAAGTTTGCTAAGAACTTTCATTATGGATGAATGTTGAACTGTGTCAAATGCTGCTCTGATACTGATGGATGTGCTCATTAATTTCCTCCACTATTATACTGATTTATTCAATTATATTAATTGATACCTCAAAGGATAATTTGCATTTCTGGATAAATCAAATTGAGCAATTATTTATTATCTCTATTGTATTTTAGTGGATCCTATTTGTGATGATGTTCCCAAATGACCCAGAGGGGCCTGGTACTGATTATGGAGGCAAGGTTAACTTTAAACTGCTGATTCTGCTGCCTCTACCTTGTGAGCAGTGGGTTTACTGGGGTGTGTCCAAGCCCACACTCATGTGGTGCTGGAGGTCAAACCCAGGACTCACGCACACCAGGCAAGCACTCCAGCAACCCAGCCACCTCCCAGCCCTGCTTATGAATTTGTTTGTACAGGATTTTTGCATCATTGTCCACAGAAGATATTTTATATTTGTCATGGTGTCTTTACTGATTTCTCTTTTCAAAGAATACATTCTGTTCTCAAAGCATTATCGGGACTTTCCTAGACTTTGTTCCCAAGAGGAGTGTGTAAGACTGTTGTGGTTTTTCTTAAACGTTGGATTGAATTCCAAGTCCACCTGGCAATGGACTCTTACTGTTTATGCGAAGGTTATTTTTGTGGTCTCTGATCGGAAAAGAATAAAAATCTTCCATTGTCCTAGGACTTCTCAGAGGGAGGATACACAGAGGGAGGAAGAGACAGGGAGGAGGTGCCACATGCCATATCTGAATGCCAGTTTCCCAAGAGGCACCTGCCCCAGTTCCTACCTTCCTCACAGACTTCCCCTAACCCAGCAGGCTGGCAGTGGCCGCCCTTGTGGGTTTCATTCCAGGTTCCTCCCTCCCCAAGACGACCCAGTCCCGACATTTCAGAGAAGGAAGGCTCTGGTGTGGGGCAGAGGACACTGGGGTCAGGGAGAGGCGGGTGGGGCAGCGGGGTGAGGAATGCTTGAAGCAGACAGAGGCTCTTTGTTTGCTCAGTTTCTGTGAAAATTGGGCAACATTTGTAAACAGCAAATATTGGTTCAGAGGCCCACTGCCTTTCCGTCCACCCCTATCCGGGCAGCACCCCAAACTCCCCTGCACGTACACACAACTTCAGTTGTTTTTAGCCAGGAAGCCAGCTCTGTGGTTGAGGTGTAAGGGTTTTACTCTGTGGTACACAATTTGGGTCACGAGCGGGCTGATCTGAAACCAGAAATCCTCTTTAACTCCTCTCTCAACTTTTCTCCCTCTCTTCTCCTCTTTTTCTCGCCCTCTCTAAATAGAGAGATCAAATATGAAGAGAGCAGCTGTGGTCTCAAGAAGAAGGCTGGCATTAGTTCTGAGTCCTCCCCCCAAAGCTTACGAACCAGGAGCCCTCATTTTAACATACTGTTTGTGACTGGAAGCACGGATACTGCTGACTTCATCTGTAGGGCTGTAGATCAACACTACAGACCCTTGCCCCAGAACAGTGCCTGGAGCACGCGGGGGCGGTGTGTGTGTGTGTGTGTGCGCGCGCGCTGAAACTATGCTTTCCTTCCAACAAGGCACAACCCGAGCAGTCCCACCTGCGGTTCTGCGGGAATGCCTGCGGGGGGGGGGGGGGAGAGGGGAAGGTAAGGCTAGAGTCCATCCATGTCTGTCACCTCCTCAGTGTGACCACAGATGAGCCTTCTTGGCCTCCATAAGTCCTGCTCTGCTGGAAGAAGCTGTGCCCCTGGTGTGACGGGTTAACCTACCACAGTCCTCTGATTTTGTATCTGGGCATTACCACTGACCTTTGGCAAGGCACTTCCCGTCTGGTCTCCTTGTCACATCTAGATGGAGATTCTCAAGCACCGATACCAGGGACTGTAGTAAGAGGTCACCGAGGCCCTCCTGAAAGTCTCAGTCATCGTTAAGGTGTTCAGGACGACAACGAGTATCCGGAGGGTCTCGGGTATAGAATTAAACACACAAATGAGGACACAGATACAGATGTCTGGGGCCACCAAGAACAGAGAGCACTGTGATATCACCTCTCATCCCCCCACACTGTACAGACATACATAGACCCGAGCACTCAGCATAGCCTGGGTTGCATTCACATGAACACCCCAAAAGCAGCCTTTGTCCAGCCTACCCTCTGAGGAATGAAGACACAGGGTTTCTCCTGAACAAGAACCAGTGGCCTGGACCTCTCTACCGGGTAGGTGTGGATGACATGGTCGCTCTAAGGTACCCATGTCAAACTGGAACCTTCTCCATGTCCTGTGTACCTCTCTGGGCTTGGACTCAGAGGACCCCGCTGAAGCAGGGCCTCAAGTTGGCTGGTCTGGTGAGGACCCAGGGAGACCAGAGACTTGGCTAAGGCAAGGCTGTAAGCCTGTGCTGGAGGAATAGCTTGAGGTGGGCGCATTTTGTGGGCATAGGAGAGGACAAGGGAGGGACAGTCATTTTCTGTGTCTCCCACGCCCTCCCCTGAGCATCCCTGAGTTCGTGTCCTACATTCAACACCTCACAATCCCCCCTTCCTGCTTCTGGCATCAGCCGGAAGTGTACCTGTTGCTCTACCATGAATCTCCACCCTCACCTTCATGTCCCTACCCCCAGGTGTCAAATGAGTCCAGACTACATCCTAACGCCTGCCGTGGGGTGGCAGTGGGAATATAACTTTCCTGCATAAGGAGCCATGAGAGGGTCAGGGGACAGAACCCAGGGCAGCAGAGGCTTCTCTTCCTCATTAGTGATGTACATGTCTGCCTCAGGTCCCCCAAACCCTTGTTAAACCAATGGTCTCTGGAGCAGCTGCTGTGTCTCCTTCCTACAGGAGACCATCTACTGGCTTAGCAATAGCTATTGTGATTGCAAAAGATGAACAAATCGGTACTTGTGCTCAGTGCGTGGGTTGGCCGTCTCCTCATCTGGGTCCACAGGCTGGACAGTAATCTGTGATCTGGAGCCTCTGAGGTATCCTGAGAGAAGATGGGGATCCTCTCAACAAAGGCTGGCCAAGGGAGAGGAGTGCTGGATGCTTGTGTCCCTGTCCTTGTCTTTTGTTTTTGACATTTTTGTTTCCATGTTTCGGGTTTTTGTGTGTCCAGTTACATGAGTGTTAGGTTCGAACATTTGACCTTTGGGCTAGTGAGATGGCTCAGTGGGCAATGCAGATTGCAACCTGGTGACTTGAATTTGATCTCCAGAACCTCCACAGTGGACGGACAGAACTGACTCCTGAAAGTTGTCCTCGGACCTTCACACTGTGACATGTGACACATGTGGGCACATTAAATAGCAAAGGAAGAAAACAAAAGAAAACGTGACTTTCTCCCTAACCCTCACAAGACATACACGTGCCTTTAAAACATTCCTGTTTCTGCTCCTAAGAACCACTGTACAAAACCCAAGCAGCCAGATTAGCATGTTGACTGGGCCTGGCATGAGCTCTCCCCATCAGCTAAAATGTGAAATAGACCCGTACCACTGGCCCACTCCTGGTAGAGAGGTCCAGGCTCTTGGTTCTTGTACAGGAGGAGGACAACAGAATCCCGTGCCTGGCATTCTTTTGAGGGGTCCACAGGACAAGGCTAGCCATGGGGATGGACGTGTCGCATGGTGCATGGAAGGCTCGGGCCTGTCTGTGTTCATCTGTAGGGATGTGGGTGGGTGGGGGGAGGTGACAGGTTGGCATCACAGCGTTCTGTGTCCTTGGTGGCCCCAGACATCTGTATCCATGTCCTCAGTTATGTGTTCAGTTCTATACTAGAGACCCTCTGGACATTCACGGCTCCTCTGAACACCTTAACCATGGAGACTCGTCATGAGAGTGTCACCGGGCTCTTCCCACAGCCTGACATTGGTGCTTTAACACCTCCACCTTATAGACTTGACAAGGAGACTGGGGGCCAGAGTGGACAACATCTTGATTAAATTGAGTAAGAACTGGCTTTTGAAAACCCTGAATTCTCTTGATGGTTCTGAAATCTGGGTTTACATTTTGCCTATAGCGCCTTGACCTTTTCCCCGAGTGTATATTGTGTCCTGAGATAGTATTTGAGGTAACATACCCGGAGGGACATTTTCAAACACCTACTTTATTTTTACTTCATTCCACAATTTTCCAGTCCATGTACAGGGTTGAAATGCACAATTATAGTTATAGTGAAAATAGCACACATGGAGGGTACAAAGGCAGTATTTTTGTGATAAAAGCATGCAGTCAAATCAGTTTGATGACTACTTAATCGGAGGGGAATAGGGATGAACAAGAAGTATCCTCCCGGGCTGTTCTTTGCACTAACACTGGCCCTTTGTTCTGAGTCTCACAGTTTGACCACTTCCTAGCAGTGAGAGAGAGTTTCATGCCCCTGTGACTGTTCCTAGCCTGGACTGTCCCACCAGAAGCTCAGGGCGGGGTGGAGAGAGAGCACATGCGCGCGATTGGAGTGTTCCCAGGACCACCAGCCGAGGAGCGAGGGGTGCTGCCTCTCTAACCAGCGCCCAACTTTCCTCTCGTTATCTTCCCTTTCCGGTTCTAGTCTGGGGTCCAAGGCAGTTCCCTTCCCTCTCTAGCCTCAGTCTCCCCTTGTGTAAGGCTGATGAAGTTGCTGGCAAGCAGCTCTGGCACCCGGGGTTCTGGAGCAAGCCACTCCCGCCCAAGCGGCTGTAGCCATGCGGTTCCTGGCACCGAGAGGGCAGTGATAACAAAGAGTGGATTTGGTTTAGGCTTCCTTCTAAACAGCTTTTTTTTTTTTTTTTTTTTTTTTTTTTTTTTTTTTTTTTTGGTTTCTCTGCGTAGCTGTGGTGGTAGCGGATTCCATGCGCGGTTCTCTCATAGTTCAGGAAATGAGGTGATCATCAGTGCAAGAAAGGAAGGGGGTGGATGCGGGGCGATTGGGCAATTGCACAGAGCAAACACAAGAGGTCAAAGATTGCACCCAGCCCGCCCCCTCCGGCAATAAAGGAGAGCGGGTCACGGAGAGGCGGTGCAGAAGCGGGTCGTCTGTGCTCCCCGCTACTCGCCACACACCGGGAGGATGAGGCTCGCCGTGGGCACCCTGCTGGCCTGTGCTGCCCTGGGTGAGTGTGGGCAGGGAAGGACTTCAGGGAAGGACTACGCATTCCCTGCAAGCTAAAGGCTGGAAGCCCCCAGAGCCTGCCTTTTGCTTCCTCTCTGCCACATCTCTATGGTCTTCAATAGCTTAGGAATAACCTTGATCCTCAGGCGTCTGGAACTCTGACTCAGTCTCTACCTTTTATTACGCTCCTCAGGCTGTCTCCCCTAAGTCCAGTAATTTGCAGACATAGTATATGACACGTTAGAAAACTTTTAACCAGTTAGCCCAGGCGCTACACAGAGCCTCCCCGTGCAATCCAAACAGCGTGGTGTGATAGTCAGGACTTCTGGGATCTAACCTTGCTATCTTTTCATTGTCTGACGTCCCTTGGATGCCTTTGGCGCTGGTGGCTTAGACTATAGTGTGGGATTTGAAGCCAGAATTCCTTTTTTTTTTTTTTTTTTTTAATAAATTTCGAGACAGGGTTTCTCTGTGTAGTTTTGGTGCCTGTCTTGTATCTTGCTCTGTAGACCAGGCTGACCTTCAAACTCACAGAGATCCACCTGCCTCTGCCTCCTGAGTGCTGGGATTAAAGGCGTGCGCCGCCACCACTGCCGCCACCGCCGCCGCCGCCACCGCCGCCGCCGCCGCCGCCACCGCTGCCACCACCACCACCTAGCTGAAGCTAGAATTCTTGAGTTCAAATCATGCCTGTATTTCTCCTGTGACGGCTGTAGTTACAACATCTGGCTGGGAGGGTCAGGTGCGGGTGAGGTCACAGGTGCCAGCCATATATCCTGCTGATTGCTCTCCAGATGGGGTCTCGAAGCCCCACGTGCCTGCCCTAGTTGGACTGTAGTTAGCATTTGCCACGTCGTCCGAACCTTCTAGTTTGAGTTATTTGCCTTCTTTGAAAATAGTCAGCTTGAAGAGGCTCCCATGCTAGTCAGCTCGGGGCACTTCATGTGACTGTGCACAGTGGCGCATGACCAAGGACAACATTTACAAATTAGATGAACTAGTTTGAATAGGCTGGGGAGGTCGTTAAGAGAGTCTGCCACTGGTTTTCCCCTGGCCAGGGTGGAATAAAGGAAAAGAGTTGGGGCACCCAGCCTCCCTGTTGCCCTTCCTTATCTGTCCTGAAGGACCGACCGCTGGCCTTGCCTGCCCCACTCCATGCTTTGTGCTTTGTGGACCTTGCTGAGTCAGGAAGTGAGCCCCGCTGAGCTGCCCGAAAGGGGATGTGATGGAAGCTGGGAGTGCCAGATCTCATGGATTATGGTATCTCTCCATCACACGGATTTTAACAGTGGCACCGATGGGAAGATGGTTCAGCTGGGGAGATGCTTCCCATGGCAGCATGAGGACCTCAACTCAGAACCCTAGCAGCCATGGAAAAAGCTGGGTACAGCAATGCTCTGGGGAGACAGAGACAGGAAGATCCCAGGGAGTTACGGCCAGTCTGTCTAGTAGAGTCAGCAAGGCTTAGATTCAGTGAGAGTCCCTGTCTCAAAAGAACCAGGCAGAGAGTAATAGCAGAAGACACCCATGTTGCCCTTTGCCTCCATGTGTACCCATCTGCACACGTGTGCATGCACTCACATGTGCGTGTGCACAGACACACACACACACACCTATTTATACAAGCACATACACACAAATAGTGATGCACACGATTGTCTTCAGCTGTTTCTCTAAATGGACGCTCAAAGGGGGTAAAGCATTGAGGGAAGGTTGGGTAGAAGCAGAAGCCTGTTGAGTAGAAGGGAGTTTCTAGTTATTTCTAAACAGAAGATAGTTGAAAAGTCTCAGGGGTAAATTCATAATCTAACTGACACCCAGAGAGAGGCAAAGCACAGAAGATTGTTATCTTCCTCTGTGGCCTGGCCAGCAGACCTAGAGTCTGGGCTCCTAACAAACAGGGTGACCTTGGGCAATCCTGCATCATTCCCGGAGTCCAGCTTTCTGGTTTCTAAAAGATGGCATCCCTTTCCCCAGACCCTTAGGGTTGCAGTATAGAGCCTGTGTCCAGGTGACTGAGAATGGTGCTTTCACATTTTTTATGTGACCTTCAGCCATGACAGTGAGGCAAGGAGGTGGGAGAGGAGTGGGCTGTCATCCTCAGCTCCACCGGCAAGCCCTCCAAACAGCCCAGGCTTTGGTGGGAAAATGAGAGGCCATCGGGGTGAACTCCCTTCCCTGTTCCCAGTATCAGAATGCGGCAGAGCCCTGTGCTGTCATGACGGCCATCAGGAGTGGGATGAGGGTGCGACAGAGGCGAGGTGCCATCAAGACCCTGCAGAAAGTGGGGCTTTCTCTCCCCTGGCTCAGGGAGTGGGTCCCTCATGCCTCTGCCTTCTCTCCGGCAGGACTATGTCTGGCTGTCCCTGACAAAACCGTAAGATGGTGCGCAGTGTCCGAGCATGAAAACTCCAAGTGCATAAGTTTCCGTGACCACATGAAAGGCGTCCTTCCAGCTGACGGTCCCCAGCTGGCTTGTGTGAAGAAAACCTCCTACTCTGACTGCATCAAGGCCATTTCAGTAAGTCGCGCTGCCTCACACGGCAGAAGGCTGCAGGGCTGCTTTCTTTAGTCAGTTTGGAATAATGTCAAGTAAGAGGCAGATGGGTGGGGTAGTCGACCCCTGCTGCTCTTCAGATCACTTTGAGAATGGAAAAGAAGAGGTCATCTTTACCGTTCATAAGGCAGGGGACAGTGTGCTTTCAAAGGTGACTCTGTTAAGGCACGTAAGTTCTGTGAACTCAGGAAAACAGGAATGTCTGTGGCATTAAAAATTATTGCTTAACCCCGCTGGGAAATTCTATTTCTCTCTCTCTTCTTCCTTCCCTCCCTTTCTCTTCCCTCCCTCTGTCTCTGTCTCTGTCTCTGTCTCTGTCTCTCTCTCTCTCTCTCTCTCTTTCTCTCTCTCTCTCTCTCTCTCACACACACACACACACAATAGATAGCAGGAGGATCATGAGTTCAAAATCAGCACAGATACATAAACTGCCTTAAAACAAACAAAAATACCAAAAAAAGGTTGAACATTCACAAAATCATAAAATAAAATAAGCAATGTTGAAGTAACGATGATGAGAAATAAGCCCGACTATCTGGCCCCAAATCCCAGGTGAATGTCTTGGCAGCCATGTGACATACTGAAGTGGCTAACCTTTATATGACTCCGTTTTTGCTCACCTGTAAAAATTGAACTGGGGGTGGGGGAGTGTCAGGTGTCCAGGTAGACAATTATACCAGAAATGAAAGTGAGAGGGTAACCCTGAACCTTGATCCTCCTGCCTGGGTCTACCAAATTCTGGGATAACAGGTGTGTGTGAGCATGGCATGCTGGCTCCTACTCTTTCATGGGCCCAGGACTGTAGGGAACAGCGAGGAATCCCGAGTCAGTGGGAGGCCAAGTGCCTTCAAGGTCTTCATCTTCCTTGGAGGCCGCTCTACGACAGTACCCACAGAGGAGCTACAGGAATGCTTAAAACACAAGGGTGTCTGAATGAAGGACCCTTCTGTGGGGCTGAGCATGGGAACAGATATAAAAACCACGACAGGCTCCAAGTGTTCAATACAACCCTGTCAGAGCCTACAGTACACTGGCTGTGCCCACCTCCAGAGAGGGAAGGATCTTCCCCCATCAAGCCTGCCAGGCCAAGCCTCTACAATTACTGAGAGTAACTCTACATTAGGGTATTTTGGGCCAGGCTCTGGACACATCAGGGAAAAGAGAAAAACACTCTGTTCCTTTCTCTCCGAAGGAACAAATGTGAACAGTAGCTAAGTGGTCTTTTGACAGACATGGAATCAACCCAAGCCAGCGGGGTTGGATGTGTTTTGGCTACAGTTGGGGTTTTCTGGCCCTGGACCCACGGGGCATTGCTAGTCCCTCCCCATCTGTTCTGGCTTAGGGAGGCTATCTTTGGAAGCAAGGGCTTCATTGAGAGTTATTCTCTTTTAGGGTAGTGAAGCAGATGCCATAACCTTGGATGCCGGTTGGGTGTATGAGGCAGGCCTGACTCCCAACAACCTAAAGCCTGTGGCAGCCGAGATCTACGGGACACCCGAAAGTAAGTTCTCCCACAGTGTCCAGGACGGTGTGTTGTGGCTTTGTCTCCTGGTAGAGATTAAATCTCCTTTCATAGGCAGCTATCACATATTAGATACTAGCAAGTGTTCTCTTTGGGGAGTCAGTGGGGAGTGAGAAGATCTTCTAGCCCTCTAGGCACAAATCAAAGCATCTGGGGACTTCGGGCTGGTTGAAGGCTGGTATGGACCTTCTGAGTCCTCACTGGACAAAGAGAGCAACCTGGGGTCCAGCTTGGCCTTCATTGGCCCTGGTGAGAGCCTCAGGTGCCATGGACACGGGAGAACCCACCCGATGGCACACAGTGAGAGCCCAACAGTCCAAGAAATCTTCTAAGATTGTTCTGACTGTCCCTATCACCAGAGGACATAAAATGCTTTGAGGGGGGCAGGGAATGTGAGCCTGTGTTGCTGCAGCTGCGCATTCCTGGTGGCCCTGGGTTGACGAGAGTAAGGTAAACAGAGCATCCTTGACCCGTGAGCAGGTGCTTCTCAAAAGACTCTATTTTTCTGGGATGATGCTACAAGTGTACCATTTGTCTTGAAGCCTACAGAAGTTTCTCTGGCTTCTTACCAGTCAGCTCCATCTAAGTTACCCCTGGGTCTCTCTTCCCTCAGTCAGAGCCAAGCACTGATGAGGGGTGCTTCCCTGTGCCCTGTCAAAGCCCTCCATTCACACTGTCCCCTTTCAGAGCCACAAACTTCCTACTTGGCTGTGGCCGTGGTGAAGAAGGATTCGGGCTTCCAGCTGAACGAGCTCCAAGGCAAGAAATCCTGCCACACTGGCCTGGGCAGGTCTGCAGGATGGAATGTTCCCATCGGCTTACTTTTCTGCAATTTTCCGGAGCCCCGCAGTCCTATTGAGAAGGGTAAGCTATCACCCCTATTCTGGATGTCCTGCTGAGGTCACACAGTCATGATTAGTCAGGCAGGTAGGCTGAACTCTCAGGTGGTGGAGAGAGATTGAAGCACTAGAGAGTGGCGGGTCCGTAGCGCCAGCTGCCCATGAGAAGTGGCAGCTGAGCCGTTTTTGTTGTTGTGAGCTCCCAATACCCCAGCAGAGGCTAGCCTGAAGAGGGAAGAAAAGGGCAGATGGGTCCACAGTGGATTTCTATATTCACTTTAGCAGCTGGGACTGCCCTCCACCCTAACCCCCCAGTTCCTGGCTGGAGATGTGAGTCATTCTGCTAAAGGGTGCTTTGGTGCCACCTGCCAGTCATGAGGTTGTCCTGCACCTCTCTAGGCTGCTCTACCACTGCCAGGGGTGCCCTTGATTGGACAGATCTGGGAGCAGAGGACAAAAGCCTAGGGCAAGCCTTGGTGGGCAGGAAGTAGGGACTGGTGTACCTTGGAGGGTAACTGCAGGGCAGGGGTTAACCTATTCCTGTTTAGAAACCGTGCTTAGCACATGCAAGGCTGAACTAAGACTGTGCTTTGTGGCTTCATGGCTTCATGCCGCTGCATTCCCTCGCCAGGCCAGACTGGATGATGGCATTCTGCTTACGCCTTGTCGTCCATTTCTTTGTATTGAGCAGCTGTGGCCAGTTTCTTCTCGGGCAGTTGTGTCCCCTGTGCCGATCCGGTGGCTTTCCCCCAACTGTGTCAACTGTGTCCCGGCTGTGGCTGCTCCTCTCTTCAACCATACTTTGGCTACACAGGCGCCTTCAAGTGAGTGAGATGGCCGCTCTGTGGTGGCCAGTGCCGGAAGTCCTCAAATGGGGGTTCTTTGCTGACCCAAAGCAGATGACCTGCCTAAAGGCATCTAGGGGGCTTCAACATCTCCCAAGGAGGCAGTGGTACAACTTGGGACTCTTAAGGCCAGGCGAGGCTACATCCCCTTTCATCTGATGTCAAAGGTCAAGCCCTGTCTGGGAGTCCTCTCTTTCCTCAGAGCTCTTGCATCTGGCTGGTGTCTCCTCTCATCGAGCTGGGTGGCATCCAAAGGGACCAACACACTCTAGTGCCTGTGGGCGTGACAGAGCCTCTGCCCCCGTGACAGCAGTGAACCATGCTCAATGTACTGGATGCTCCCCTGTCCCCACTCCAACAGTACATGTGGCTTTTTAAAAAAACCTTTTTTACATATATTTTGATCATATTCTTTCCCCCAACTCCTCCTAGATCCTACATACACACACACATACACACCACACACACCACCACCACCACCACCACCAACAACAACAACAACAAAGGTCAAAACAAAACAAAAACCAAACAAACAAAAAGCACACAGGGGGGAAAGAAAACAAAATATGGGGTCTGCTTTCCATTGGCCAACTACTCCTGGGGCATGGGGCCTGCCCTGAAGAAAACTGATTTTCCAAGCAAGAAAGCTTCTTGGTTGGGGGGGGGGGGGTTTTATGTCATGTGGCTGGTTTCTTGCTCTCTCTTTTTATCTTGTTTATACCCTGAAGTCCTCATAGCAAGGGTAGAAATACCATCATCTTCTCCACTAGGGATTTGAAGCCTTTTTACATTAAAATCTCTCCCCCTTCTTTTCGCCAGCTTGGGGTACAAATAGAGGGGTGTTCATCTTGGGTGAGCTCACCCTCCCTCAGCAGTGCGCTGGATGTCAGCAGACCACAGAGTTCATGTGCTTCTTTTCCACAGGTGCCTGAAAGACGGAGGTGGTGATGTGGCCTTTGTCAAGCATACAACCATATTTGGTAAGTGATGGGAAAGGACTGTGGGGCAGGTAGCCTGCCCCCCTTCTCACAGTTGGTAGGCGGACATGAGCATGCAGGGTTTCTCTACCATTGTTTGAGTTTCAACATGTGCGGAGGCAGGTGCTTTGGGGGGGTCTCCACCTAGATTCCTTGCCCTCTTTCTGTCACCCAAACCGCATAATGGCTCTACCTTTAGGGCAGATTTGCCATAGCCAAGCTTTGGAGGTTGGTCTGGCTGACCTTGGCCTGTCAGCAATCTTGCTGAGCTCAGACTCATGGGATAAAGGCAGTCATTGCTTCCCTGGCCCACAGACACCTCCATGCCTTCATCTGGTTATAGGCGCCTCTTCCTGCATGTTCCTTGGCCCTCAGAAATCCCTCCAGGTCGGACCTTCAGCTTATGCTTTCTATGATGATATACTACAAAGGACGGGAGGGGCTCAGCCTACCACAGGCTGACCTGAGCTTTCCCTCCTCAGAGGTCCTGCCAAACCAGGCTGACAGGGACCAATACGAGCTGCTCTGTCCTGACAACACCCGCAAGCCAGTGGATCAATATGAGCAGTGCTACTTAGCCCGGATCCCTTCTCACGCTGTTGTGGCTCGCAGTGTGGACGGCAAAGAGGACTTGATCTGGGAGATTCTCAAAGTGGCCCAGGTATTCCACCCACCATCCTCTCCCCTGCTTACAGATCTGTGCTCAGATCTTCTTGATATCGGCACGTACTAGAACAGTCCTTGTGTATGTTCAGGACACAGTGGGGACCCTGTCATGCATTACCAACCTCTCCAGCGTCCCCAGTTGGGACTCCTCATAGAGTAGCAGTATCAATATTCACCACCTTTTGACCAATGACACCTACCTACTCCATCTAAGGTAGGCCCTCAAGGTCCAGAACAAATCCCAAAAGGCTCTCCTATAACCCAAAAGGAAAGAGAATCTCTCTTTATCTCCCCACTTCCCCCGACACACACACACACACACACACACACACACACACACACACACACACACACACACACACATTCTCCCAGACATAGGACAGGCTTTCCCCTGCTACTTCTGTGCCTCTTGGCTGGGGTTGGTTAAGACAACTTCCTCTGGTCCCGCCTACTCATCTGTCCATCACAAGTTTAAGGGGGCAACCATCCAGTGCCAGCCTCTGCACTAGACTCACTTCCTGTTCTCAGCTAGCTCTCAACCGCTCAGAAGCACAGGGGAGGAGAAATGTGGTACGGTCCTTAAAATACTGGACAAAACGGTGCTGGGTGATGGAGAGCATGCTTGAATGCCTTGTTTCCTGGTACTCCAAGTTTCTTGTGGTTTTAAAATCAGTTTCCTGGAGTTTTTCCCTGTTCTCTCCAGTCCTGCTTTTTACCTCCCTGATCCCTGTTGCTCTTTGCTGCTCTGTTTTTTCCCGGAAACAGGAACATTTTGGCAAAGGCACATCGAAAGAATTCCAACTGTTCAGCTCTCCTTTGGAGAAAGACCTGCTGTTTAAGAATTCTGCCATCGGGCTGATAAGGGTCCCCTCAAGAATGGACTACAAGCTGTACCTCGGCCATAATTATGTCACTGCCATACGGAATGTACGGGAAGGAACATGTAAGTACTCAGGAAAAGCCAGGAACGTGGGCAACCAGGCAAGTTTAAGAAGCAGCCATAATCTTTCTGGGGACTGTCAGCCTCTCCTAGGGTTCCTATTTCTGTCATGCTTGTGAGCACAGGGCTGGACTAATGCTGGGTGGCATCAACCACCAAGGGCTTTAAAGGCTGTTCACATTTTAAATGACCTGGGTCGGCACTGGTATCATTTCCTCTGCATAAATCAGGGTATTCCGATGCCCTTTATGAAGCCCATTAGACCATTATAAAGTAAATAACTCAAAGTTTCTGCAGATCACACACCCCTTGCCAATACTATGGTCAACATAGACATAATGAAGCTGTAGGTCTAGGGAGGTTGATCTTGCCCTGGGTTTCATTGGGGCACTGGAGGTTTGCCTAATAATTTACTCATTCAGTGGATATATATTGAACATCTAGCCACACTGCTAGATGCTGGACTTAAAAACAAATATTAGGTTCTGTTGTCCTGGGACTTTCAGGCTAGGGAGAGGACAAATGTTTGAGAGATGGTCACACTACTGAACAACTAACTACAAAGTGAGAAAATGAAAAATAACAACAACAATGAAATAGCAAGGTCCTACAAGAGTGAAAAGCAAAGTCAAACAGACCCTCCTGGCCAAGAGCTGAGCCCCCCTGAGAGAGTGTTTTGGGGACCAAGCCTAAAAGATGGGCATGTGCACATATATCTGTCAGTCTGTCTATCTATCTATCTATCTATCTATCTATCTATCTATCTATCTATCTATCTATCTATCTTTGCTGGACACTTATTATACTGACCCCATGATAACATTGATGATAAATAGGAGAGTGCCCTGGTGAGTGAGTTAGGTGTGTCCCTTTCTTTAGTAGCACTTAATTCTCCCATGTGGAAACCTGTGACAAACAATGAACATAGAAATGGCTGGTTAGTTAAAACTGCTATTTGAAAAAGAAGGAAGAAAGAAAAGTGTTCAGATGTTAGGGTGTCCTGAGGTTAGAGAGTTGGCTTTGCAAGAGAAAAAGTTGGTGAAGCATTAATCTAATTAATCTTTAGCAATAAAAAAAATCAGGAGTCAAATATTAGGGTGAGAACCTGAAAGATCAGAGAACCAGGGGCAGCCACCAGTTGCTTCCTACCTCCTTTGTTCCTCCATCCAGAAAGGGTCGAGATCCTCCCTCAGCCCTGCTTACCGCTTCTTGTCCATCTCTCTACAGTCCTCCAAACCTCTATGGCCAGCTAGTGGCTAGCTCTGCCCTCTGACTCCAAGCAAGCTTGATTTGTCAGAACACAATCAAAATATCACACAACATTTCCCCCTTTTTTGTCTAAATAAAAAGCGAAGGTTTTGACTAACATAGTAAAACTATATACAATAATAAACTCTCTCTCTCTATATATATATATATATGTATATATATATATATACATATGCAAGAATTACATTAACAATGTCTATTCCATTTGCACTTGACAAATTCAGAGAAAATATTCCATTATCTATCCTATCTTGGTGAGCCCAAAGTGTTGTACCTAATTCAATTTCTATCCTAACTTGCATTACCAACCCAAAACTATCTTTTTATGTCTTTCAACTTTATACACTTTACACCTCTTTTGTGAGTTTCTTTTCTGAATTTGGTAACAAGGGCAACTATAACTATCTAGTTTTCAACTCCATCAGAGACCTGATAGTGCAGAACAAATTAAGAAATGACAGAAACAGCTGGCTACCTGGACAGTCACCCAAGGTTCCTCTAACATTGGGGCATCCATCTTCAGCCTACAGACCTAGACTATCTTACAGACTTTACCATGAAGCCGGGTTTTTGAAGAACTATCTTACCTTGTCTTGGCAAAGTTTGGCAGTTCTTTCTCTTGTGTCCTGCATGTCTAATTTGGACAGCATACTATCAGCCATTGAGGCAAGGGCAGTTTCTTGCCCAGTGGCTAACTTTGCTACAAAGAAAGTAAACTCATATGAAGTTTTTTTTGATGCCCATCATCTTCTCTGAAGTAGATTGGCACTGCCAGGAGCAGGCATGTCTCATTGTCATTAATTAAAAAAAGAACCTTATGTTATTAAATGCCATATTCTATAGATCTCTGAAATGTTTGAAGACAACCTGTCTATCTAAAATAGATCTATTTGACCTTGAAAACATACCTAACATGACTACAAGTTTGATTGTAATAGATGACTAACTACTGACCTGCATTTATTTATTGTCCTAAGTAGCTTGTAATAATAACTTTCAAGGACTAGAAATTTACAATATATTGTTAAATAAGCTGCATAGGTACAATACCTTAAACAAGAGTAGAAATGTAAGTACAGTATGTTCTAACAAAAATAACCTTAAATGTGTATCAATATGCAAAAATATCTTAAACAAGAGTAGAAACATACACAGTATAACAAAAATAACCTCAAATTTGTATCAATATACAAAAGTCCAAACCAATGTAAAACATTTAAAACTAGTAGTTACTTTTTTGGTTTAAAAGTAGATCCTTGAACAATATCCCTGAATCTAATCTCCTTTGTTCAGCTTTTTTCCTGACCATTACAAATAACAACTTGTAACCAACCCCTCTTAAATGATAATAACCCATTTTTTGGGAATGTGGGCATAGTTCTCTAGACAATTTCCTGCTGGTTGGGGCACTTGTAATCTTTGGGGAACCCTAAGAAAATTCAGGATTATGGTCAAGTTCTGACTGGAGTATTCTGTGAGGCTTTATCATCTCAGCAAGCAGCCTTGAAGCTGTTCTGGATGTAGACTTCTGAGGAGACTGTAACAGAGGCATTTTGACATGCTGGATCACCTGGCAGGATTTCAGGGGTCTTCCTCAATCAAACCTGATTTCTTTAACCCAGAATGAATCAACAACTTCTCATTTCCTGTGGAAATAAAAGCAGAACCTCTCCCCCAAAGTAACACATCTTTTGACTTAAATTTTGAAGTCAAAATATCTTTAAAATATATAAGTTGGTTGAATCTAGCAGTTTTTATAATCCAGTATCTCTTAGCAACCAAAAAATTCAAAGACAACATAATAACATACAAGATCCAGCCTCTCTGTGTGCTTCCCATCTTTATATGGCTTATTATATATTTTTATTACTCTATTCCTTTTTAAGGACTTTCTCTACTCTTTTTATTTTCTCTCCCAAGCCTACATATATTTTTAAGCACACTGTAATGTTTAGAGGTTTTTTTCTTGTCTGAACCTGTCTTTACTACATATCTGTAACCTTTTCTGTCAGCAGGAGCAAAAACCCTACACCCACCACGCAGCATGTTGGTGGGGCTCTCAAGCCTGTAGGAAGTGACTGGGAGAAGCCTCTCTGTACTGTGGCCCACGTGGGAGACTGTGGGAGCCCGCCATGCTGTCTAGCTCACGGCCATTGGTGGTGGCTCCCCCTCACCGGCAGTTGTCTAGAGATGCATCTCTATACCGCAGCTGGCATGCCCGGTGTGGCTCTCTTTCTGTGTATTTAGAACCCTTTTTAAGTTTTCTCAGGTCTTATGTGGATCCATGCCCCACGTTGGGTGCCAGGTGAAGCATCAATCTAATTAATCTTTATCAATAAAAAATATGGAGTCAAATATTAGGGTGAGAACCTGAAAGATCAGAGAACCAGGAGCAGCTGCCAGTTGTTTCCTACCTCTTTCGTTCCTCCATCCAAAAAGGGCCGAGATCCTCTCTCAGGCCCACCTTACCATTTCCTGTCTCCTCTTTCTACAGCCCTCCAAACCTCTATGGTCAGCTAGTGGCTAGCTCTGCCCTCTGACTCCAAGCAAGCTTGATTTGTCAGAACACAATCAAAATATCACACAACAGGCTGGGGGCTAGAGAGATGACTCAGTGGTCAAAAACAAGTGTGACTTTTGAGAGGACCCTGCTCTGGCTCCCAGTGCCCATATTAGACAGTTCACAACTGCCTGTAACTCCAGTTCCAGAGGATCTGACACCCTCTCCTGGCTTCTGAGGGTACTGTACTCACACGCACCAACCCACATACAGATACATACACACATATGTAATTAAAATTAAAGAAAAATAATCTTACAGAAGAGGAAAAGCTGAATTTAAATGAAATCAACCAAAGTTGGACTGTCTACCGTCTTTGCTTTCCTAGATGATTATGAGTTCCTTGAATGGGATCTGTTTATCTCATCATTTGCATGGAGCAGTCAGCAGCATTGACATATCCCAGACAGCAGCCAGGGCTTCTTTCTCCTGACTTCTGGTTCTTCTTCTTGAACTACAGGCCCAGAAAGCCCCAGCACCACCTCACCGGTGAAGTGGTGTGCTCTGAGTCACCACGAGAGACTCAAGTGTGACGAATGGAGTGTTAACAGTGGAGGGCAAATCGAGTGTGAATCCGCAGAGACCACTGAGGATTGCATTGACAAGATTGTGGTATGTCTCTTCTGCCTTTCTAGGGCAGTGTCCCCAACACTGGCCTGCTGGCCCACTCTAAGGCCGAGTCAGCAAGTGCAGCTAGAGTGCTGTGGAAACCCCCTTTCTAGAATCCTTGCTTTCATGGTCTGAGTTTAGCTCCCCAGGAGGTTCCGAGCCTTAGAGTTTGTGGGTCTAAAGGACGCCTTCGGGTTCACTTTGCTCTTTCCATCAGCACAGTGGGAGGGTAATCTGAGTCATGTCCTTCTGAGGGAAGCTGTACTATATATAGCAAGAGTGTCACTGGGCTCATGACACTTCCTGATGAGTGTGGAAGGCCTCGGTTTTGATCTTTCAGGCAAGTACACATTCGCCTAATTGATCAAAATTAGCATTCCTTACTTTCCTATGAGAATCTTCAAAATCCTGAGAAAGAAGAAAATAAATACCCCTTATCATCAGTAACTCAGGAAAGACCCTCTTATTGGGATTGTGTCATATAGGTTGCTTAGCACCTCCCACTTCATGGTGTCTTGTGAGCTTTTCTTATGTCTTCCAAACCCTGATTTTGTGCTTCTGTCTTAGAGGACACAATGAGGTTCGGCCAGGGTGGGTGCCTGGAGAGGGCAAGGAAGCTCCAAGCTTTCAATCCCCTGCCTCTGTTTTCTCTTTCTTTCTTTCTTTCTTTCTTTCTTTCTTTCTTTCTTTCTTTCTTTCTTTCTTTCTTTCTTTCTTTCTTTCTT